TAATCTGCACTCCTCTACCTCCTTTGGGGTTACATCTTGGGTCTAATTCTAATAAAACACTGATATGGTTCCATCTGACTTAAGTGGGCAGGAAGATGCCAGCTTTGTGCAGAAGTCATGGATTTGTGCCCTTTTGCCATATCCAACCCACTGCTCCCTGTCTATGAGATATGAGAGAGAGTCTGAAGTGTTGACTCTCAGATAAAATCTTCTGGGGGTTCCATATTTATTTTGGAGGCATGAATAACTATTTTTTTGCTTTTTGGGTCACACCTGGTGATGCACAGGGGTTACTCCTGGCTCTGCACTCAGGAGTTACTCCTGGCGGTGCTCAGGGGAACATATGGGATGCTGGGAATCGAACTCGGGTTGGCCGCATGCAAGGCAAACGCCCTACCCGCTGTGCTATCTCTCTAGCCCCGAGTAACTTTATTTTAATAAGAAGTCATTTAATAAGTACAAAGACAGCTGGACTGAGCACGGCTCAGGCATCAGGAGTGCTGATGAGAATTAGGAAAGTAAATGATCGACAGAAGCACAAAGCATCCAGGGATTGTGGCCCCAGGAAGCAGGACCAGAAGGAGACATGGAATGAGACCAGGACTTCATCCATCCTCTACCAGTCTCCTGACATCCTGGGTGAGCAGTACCAACTTCTCTTCTCACTCTCTTGGACTTACACTTGACTCATCTTGGCTTCTGATCATCACCTTGATGTAGGCTGGCAGATACTGAAGTTCCCTTCCCCAGGCGATGGCAGTAAATTTCTTGGGAAGTAATAGTTCTGAAGTTGCAAAGGCCGACCTTGCAGAAAAGAGGAACTAAGGCCTGATAAGACCCTCGCCTGCAACAGACCCAGAGAAGCTTCTGCAGAAACTAAAGGCTAGGAAAGGAATTTCAAAGAAGACCATCATCACTCCCAAAGCCCTTGGTAACCTCCTTAGCAACAGACTTTGACCGAGGTAAAAGCCCCACCTGGGTGCAGGTTGGAGAAACCCTATAAAGGCCACCTTGAACAAAGAAAGTGTGTGCATAGGCTTCCTGAGAACACATGCTGCTTGTGCCCACGTGGCCAAACACATGTGGCACCTGAGCACATGTGGCGCCCACATCTCCCCTCTTGAGATGTGTACTTTCCTGCTTTTTTGTCTAATGCTGGGATGTGAGTAGGGGCTCTCTCAGCCATTGGAGAAGTCCGGGTTCTCTCTTAAGTGTGTTACTCTCCACTCTCTCCCACTTTCTCTTCCTCCTTTCCTTCAAAATCTCCAAATAAAATATGTTTTACTTCACTGCTTGTCTACTCCCGAAATTCTTTTCTGTGAGTTGAGACAAGAACCCAGTCACCCTGGGTCCCGGGTGGCAGAGGCAGATGGGGAGAAAGTGACTGTTTTTCTCCTCCCTACTTCACATATGTCACCTGTGGGGCCCACTGACATCAATCCTAGTTCCCAGATTCAGGTCACATAAGAAAGAGATTCTGTGACTCAAGTGATAGTACAGTTGAATAAGGAACTTGTTTTGCACACAGTCAACATGGATTCAATCCCCAGCAACCACATATATTCCAGAATTTCCTGTCAAGAGTGATCCCTGAGCACAGAGTTAGGAGTGAGCCTTGAGTACCAATGAGTGTGGTCCATAAACAAAAATATACCAAAACCAACAAAGTAACAAGAGATTCTGGCAGCATCAGTTGAGACCAAGACTTCCCTCTAACCACCCATGGTGAGTAAATGACACATATAGTATGACTTCCCCTTTGGGATAGCAAAGAAAGATGACTTTCGCAAAAGGCAGCTCAGATAGAGAAGGGAACACCAAGTAAAGGATATTTGCAGGACTCGCTCGGGATGCGAGATGTGTGCTGAAAGTAGACCGAACAGGATGGCTACTCAACACCTCTATTGCAAACTACAATACACTAAAGGAAAGAGAGAACAAAAGGGAATGCCCTGCCATAAAGGCGGGGTGGGGGGAATGGGGTGGGTGGTGGGAGGGCTACTAGAATCATTGGTAGTGGAGAATGGGCACTGGTGGAGGGATGGGTACTCGATCATTATATAACTGAAACCCAAGCATAAAAGTTTGTAAGTCTACAACTGTACCTCATGGTGTTTCACTAAAAAAAAAAAAAAAGGCATGTGAGGTACAAGGGTAACAGAAGAAGTAACTGGCATCTTTACCTTGATATTCTCTTCATGTGAAGAGCAAGTGGCCTTTAGAAAGCCTATGAGTGCTTTATAATCTTTATAATATGTAGGATATGGAATAATTATAAGGCAGTGAATGCCTTATACAAAATCTTCAAGGATTAAATATCCATGATACCCTTCAGATACTAACCACTCAATTTCTCTTGACTTAGAATGATTCAAGACTAGGAAACATTCGATAAATAAAGAATATGAAGATAGGACCGGAGCAAAATGTGAAGATTGGACCGGAGCAAAAGCATAGCGGGTAAGGCATATACTTTGTAAGTGGCCTACTCAGGTTTACATCCCAGAACCACATATTTAATAAATTCCTGAACCTTACCAGGAGTGATCCCTAATCAGAAGTGATCCCTAATCAGGAATAATCCCTAATCAGAAGTGATCCCTAACCACAGAGCCAGGAACTAGCCCTCTGCACAGCCTGGTGCATTCCAAAATCCAAACAAACAAAACCAAACACTGTCCTCTAGTTGTTCATTGATTTGCTCCAGTGGGCCCAGTAACGTCTCCATTTTGAGACTTGTTGTTACTGTGTTTGGCATATTGAATATGTCACGGGGAGCTTGCCAGACTCTGCTGTGTGGGCGAGATACTCTCGGTAACTTACTGGGCTCTCCGAGAGGGGTACATGAGTCGAACCCAGCTTGGCCAGGCTGGCTGCGTGCAAGGCAAACGCCCTACTGCTGTGCTATCTCTTCAGCCCTCCAAAATCCAAAGCAAAATAAAAGAATCTGGACATAATTCAAGAAAGCAGATCATAGGAGGTAGCTACTGTTTAAAACAAATAAACAGCAAAGTATAAAAACTGTAAAAACTGTGAGCAATATACTCTAGAGACATGCTAGGACAATAAGTGGATTTCCATTTAAATATTGTATTCCCTTCCACTATTGTTAAGCTTTCATATCTGATAACAAGTTTGTAGCAAATGGCATTGTATCCCAGGATCCCCCCTCCAAAGAAAATTAGATAAATATGTGTCAGTCTTTCTGAATGTATAGCGACACTTACACTGTGCATTTCTATGTGTTCAGAAACTCCAGCTAACCCAAATGCATTTGAATCATTTAATTTAAATAAATGATAAAACTTAAAGCCAATGTATATCAACATAATGCTTAGCAATTTGTTCTTTTCTATATTCATATAATTACTGTTACATTTCTTCAGCCTTCTGTGTTAATCTGTCATCCTCTTGCATTCATATGCTTGCATGATACTATGCAAAAAACATATCTCCACCATTTCTAATTTCTCTTACAGTATCATTTTTGCTTTCTGTTTGGAATCCTCTACAGATTTTAACTATACCTAAGCTATCGTCTATTGCACTATGTTAAACAATACCTTTTTTAATTAAGGTTGGTTTTTAGTTATCTTTACCATGACATGAATTCCAGCCAATGAGGGTCTTTTCCCCAGAGCATTTGCAAATGAACTCCTAAATGAATAACAATTTTTTTCAAAGTAAAACAAGCACATTATAATTTTTCCTTGGAGAGAAAATCAACTTCCTCTGCATTCTCACTCTGTTGAAGCATACTTATTTCTCAGCTAGGATTAAGACTAGCTACACTTGAGGACCATATATTGAACTACATGTAGAGGCAAAAGCAGTAAAATGAGTAGATATAGACCCAGTTGTGATTGGACAACGAGGCAAACAGTATGGGGAGGGTTTGGTAGAAGAAGGTATTTGTTTTGTGCATATTATAACTTTGAAAGCACGATAGAGCCTCTGGATTCCACAAGAAAGTAACCAAAGCCTCCTACATAACACATGTTGATAAAATGTCTTGTTTTATCACAGTATCTCTCTATCACTGTCATACCGTTGTTCATCAATTTACTCAAGTGGGAACCAGTAACGTCTCCCTTTGTCCCAGACCTGAGATTTTAGCAGCCTCTTCTTACTCGTTTTTTCTAACTGTATTGGAGGCTCTTTCAGGGTCAGGGGAATGAGACCCATTTTCGTTACTGTTTTTAGTATATCGAATACACAATGGGGAGCTTGCCAGGCACTGTCGTGCCCTGTTTTAAGAAGGAAATATCTTTGACACTTGTTGTTTGCTCCTTATTTATCCAAGATAATTTTGTTTTTAAGCAACTTCGTAGATATTTATGTCAGTGTCCCCTTGAAGCCAAGAAAAGTTGAATTTTATGATCTTAATTTGTTAATATAATTCTCTATGAGCATGAGGGTTTATACACTTTGAATTACATTTTTCCCATAATACTGCAGCCCTAAAGGCAAAGTTGAGTTGTGAACATATGTCTTATTTTCACATGGTTTTAAAAAGAAAGTCAAACTATAGGTGTTCGGGAAAAATTGTAAATAGTCATGCTTCTTCATTCTTCACTTTCAAACCAAACAATAAAAAAGAGAAAAAGACATTGAGCTGAACCTCATTCTAAATGATGTTCTGATTATCAAGAATTTCTAGGGTTTCTTTTTTTTGGCGGAGGGAGGCATCATTTTGAATTCATTCTTATCTACAACTCTCAAAACGCTTCTTCTTTGATTAACCATCTCTTTATTTCAGTCCAATATTACTCAATGTATTTGGCTACTATATATATATATATATATATATATATATAACTATCAATGCATTTTTAATAGAATGGGAGAACTATTTGGGATGCTTGCTAATAACTGTTGTAAATTAAATCAAAATTATTTTATACATAAAATTAGTAATTAAAGTTGTAGAAATGCTGGTGCAAATATAACTTGCTCTTGTTGAGCACATTTGTTGACAGAGGAAATAAAATGTCACTTACCTCCTCTCTTGTTGATCTTGGCATAGCCTGGTGAGTAGCTCCCAGACATAGCGGAAGAGCTACTGAAAGCCACATGGGACAGTCCAGATACAAGAGCCTCATCGCATTTTTCTAAAAAGAGAAAGGAAAGAAATGAAGTAGTTTAATCATGATGGCTATCTTTTAGTACAAAAATTGGTGTATATAATAGAAATTTAAAAATCTACAATGCCACATTAGACAACTCATAATAACTTAGGCAACTTGATTTGAGTCAGTATAATAAATCAGAGGAACAATTTAAATATTTTCTGTTTTTCAAGAGTGAAAGCAGGGTCTGGAGTGATAGCACAGTGGGTTGGGCTTTTGCCTTACATGCAGCCGACCCAGGTTGGATTCCCGGCATCCCATATGGCAGCCTGAGCACCACCAGGAGTAATTCCTGAGTTCAGAGCCAGTAATGACCCCTGAGCATCACCAAGTGTGCCCCAAAAGAGAAAAAAAGAGTGAAAGCAATGGTTAAATGAATGGTTAAGTGATTCTTAGATAGCTGATCTGAATGTAGGCCCTTTGAAAAAAAACATTTAAGGTACCAATTCTTATCTGCTATCAAAGAAGCATCAGCAAAGTTGAGGATATTCATTGAACAAAATTTGAAATCTATTATATCTGGCAAGCTAGTAACAGTATTCTGCCCGCACGGCAGAGCCTGGCAAGCTTCTCATGGCATATTCAATATGCCAAAAACAGTAATGACAAGTCTTACAATGGATACATTACTGGTGCCTGCTTGAGCAAATCAATGACCAATGGGAGGACAGTGCTAAAGTTTTATATCATAGCAAACCATAAGAATTTATTTAACATAATTATTGATACTTTTGGTTTTAGGGCCAAGTCCAACTCTTATCAGGTCTTATTCCTGGCTCTGTGTTCAAGGATAACACCTGGCCAACCACCAGGGCCCATATGGAGGAGTAAAAAGGATTAAACTCAGGTTAGCCACATGCAAAGCAAATGCTTAATCCAGTGTCCAGTCTCTCTGTCCTCTTAAAATGTTTTGTTATTTTAAAGAATTTCTTACAATATAAACAGAAGTTTAGAACCTGAATTAGAGATTGGAGAGAATTATCACAGGGGTTAATCACTTATCTTGCATGCAGCTAACCCTGATTTCATTCCCAGGACCACTTATGGTCACAATGAGTACAGCCAGGGGTCATTCCTAGACACAGAACCAGGCATAGCCCTTGAACCACTGTTGAATCTGGCTCAAATAATATCCTCTCCCACAAAGAACGTTAATTAGATTTAAAGAGACAAAAAGAGGCACGGCCAAAAGGAATCTAATCAAAGTCGAAAGACTCTGAAAGTTATGCCAGTAAGGGAAAACATAGAATGAACAGTATGAAAAGCACAGCCCTTGTAAAATAAACCCATTCCTATGAAATCTGACCTATTCACTGCATCAGAGCCCAGAGATCATTCAGTTCCGCCCTCCAATTCCACAACACCACTCATTTTCCCCACCCCCTCCCCACGACTCTTTTGCAATCATAATCCTTCCACAGATCTTTCTCCTTTTCCTATGGTCCAAATGTAAAAGTTCCCAGCACACCATTCTTGAATCTCTATCTCGACTCTCCTCCTGCTGCTGGGAAACTGCATCAAGGACTGTGTCTACTCATGTTGGTATATTCCTATTCCCACCACTTCACACACTGACTGCAAGCAAATATCAACAACAGGCTGAGGAGAATTGCCCCCTCTTCTTACTTCCAACTCTGTCTGTTTTTCTTTAGCCTGTGTTAGGTTAGAACCAGGAGTAAGCCTTGAACACTGAATGTGTGCCTCACCCCCCAAAAAACATAAATTAAATAAAAGTATACATAGCAATGAAAGAGGCACTCGAAAATACCAGTCAAGCACTTCAAAATATGCAAGTCTTTCTGTTACCATTACTTGGAAAATGAAATTCCCAAGGGCCCACACAATCACTGCATTGGTGACATTAATCTTTCTATGTCTATGTCCACTTCTATCCAGCCATGGTGGTGCCTTCCTCCTTCTCCAACAAGCCTAACTTCTCCTTCGATCCTTGACCTGCACTATTCTAGCTAAATCAAGCCTTTGTTCTCCCAGCTGTCACCCTTCACTGCTACAGATATGATTTGGGTGTCCACTGGACCAACAAAACACCACACTTTCATCTCTCTGCACTCATGTCCCATAACAGTTACCTTTGAGGCTTCAAGAACAACCTGATTTGCTGTGTCCTCACTCTTTTGCTGGAATTTTAATGGGAATAAAGTTTTTGAGACTTTGCTTAGTGCCTGCTTTCGAGGAATCTGAACTGCACTTTACATGCTGTAGGATCTCTGAAAACATCACACTGCTGCATGAATGAATGCAGAAACGGCCAATTCAACCTGACAAGCTGCAGTGTCCCCGTGCAGAACAATATCGCAGTACAGTATGACACAACACCTAGTTTTCCTTTTTAAAGAAGTTTTTAGCTTGATTGGTTTGGGAGCCACACCCCACAGTTCTCGGGGCTTATTCCTGGCTCTGTGCTCAGGGATCCTCCTGGTGTTGTTCAGGGGACCATGTGCACTGCAGGGATTGAAATTTGGTCAGCTGCCTGCAAGATAAGTACCTCACCAGCCATCTTATCTTTCTGAAACCCCAACACCTAGCTTGAGATGTTACAAACGTTCACCAAATGCTTACACAGTCTCAATTCTCTAAAGAGTAAGACAGAGAATAACACTGCACTCTGTAGAATAGCATTTTAGATACGAAATTCTAGATATTTAAAAACAAAAAGCATTTCAGCACTAAGAGAAATGAATCTGTTTTCTTTACATAGAGTATAGTCCTTCACAATACTCAGGAAATGAGCTGATCTTCACGATGTCATTGCCCAAACATGTACAAACCTGAAGTTTGAATGAACAATTCATCTCCTAAACAGTGCTAAATTCCTTATTATTATTCATTATACTGAAAATACCTCTGGGAAACACAGCATATGGGCAGGAATATATTTTTTAGAAAAACAAATAAAAAAGAACTAAACGATGAATGAGGCATTTATTTTAAAAGTTCAACAACAAGTGTCTATTGTCAAATACTGTATTAATTATTAAAAAATATGTAATTCAGTTTAGCTTCCCATGAAGGAAAAAAATTAAGTCCAGACTTTCTATTTTCTGACTCTCGAGGCTGATTTTGGAAAACAAGTCACATATAACTGGAGTAACTGCTTACATTTAAAGCTTCCACTGTATATTAAAAATGTGCCCGTTCGTTTTTGTTTCATGCATTCACACATGCACCAGCACCTAAAATGACTTGGGAAATGCAGTAGTTGAATCAACAGATGGATTGATGGTAACTTGAGGTTGACTGGAAAGAAACAGAGTGAAGAAGCTAGGAGGGAGGACAGTCTTGATCCTAGAACCACCTGGTCCCATGGAGAGCGGCTAGGTATCACTCTGGAGGTCATTGAACACTGCGAAGCTCACTCTAGGTTTCTAAGCACCGCAGGGCTTAAATAGAACTAGAACATCGTTATTCTGAGGCCCATGCGTTGAATTGCTTCTCCAGTTGGTGGAGAATCACCGGAATTGACCCCATGTGGAACCCCTTCTGGTCCCCAGAAAAGAAACCTAAAAACACTAAAAAGCACATTTCTAGGATGAGCTGGTGATGAATGCCATAGAGACACATTAAATATTAAGAAAGGCAGCAGGGCATTGATCTGTGGGGTGGAAGTTGAGAAAATTGCTATTTTTTTTTCTGTCTTGTTCGAAGAAAACCTCTTTGATAAGGTGACATCTGAGCAGAATCTGTGGGCAAGGAGTGGAGCCCTATTAGAAATCAACAGGACGATGCTCAGAGAAAACCTTTTCAAATTCACAACTGCTCAGTGGGGGCGTAATCAAAAAAAGATGCAGTTTTTTAAAAGTGAGCATTCAATGCAGATATATGACTACATTGAAAGTAATTAATTGATTTGCTGAATAATTGATTCCGCTCCCCATTAGCTAACTTCAAATAGGGAGCTGAAACATAGCATTTATAAAACATGAAAATAGTGACTCATTATTGCATGATTTAAAAAAAACTAAGATTTCTATAATAGGTTAGTAAGCTTAACAAATTTAATTTTTTAAACTAAATTATAAGTCACATAAGTCACAATAGCAAAATTAGGGAGAAAATAGATAAGAACATATGAGAAGATTTTTTAATGGTAGCTAAAATTTTATCAAAAATTCCTTTTGCAGTGGTGGTGGTGGTGGTGGTGTTCCCATGCAGTGCTTGGAGAACCCCAGGACAAATCCCAGTGATTCTTTGGCACATTTGCTGAGGGCTCAGTGTTCAGGCCTTGGATGCAGTTTGGTACCAAAATTAAGCCAGGCCATCTCCACTGTGTTCAGCCGAACATATGGTGCCTGGTCATCAAACCTTGCCCCTGTTCTAACCTTTGAACTATCTATCCTGTGCTCTTATTATCAAAGTCTTAACCAACAGTACAATATTCTAAATTGAGACATAATCTATAACCCTCTAATTAATAAAATGTAAAATGCTACCTTTACTGAATTTTGTACTGGAAGACTGTTGTTTTATTTTGTTTGGGGGCCACACCCTCAATACTTAGGGTACTGACTCCTGGCCCTGCACACAGTGATCACTCCTGGCAGGGTACTGGAGAACAAATGTAGTGCTGGGGGTTGATCCTGAGTCAGTCACAAGCCAAGTAAGTGTCCCGTCCTCTGTACTACACTCTGGTCCCTCTCCTGAAGTCTTTTGTCAAAAAATTTATTAGTACGCTCAACCTTTCCTCAGTACACACATGTTCCTTTTTCTTCACGAGTGGCAATAATACAGAGCTACGCAGGACACGTAAAACATGAAGCAACAAGAGAATCCTACGAAAGAGTTTTTGCACTGAAGGCTGAGCAGACTGTTATTAGGTAAAGTAACGGATGACTCTGCCCAGATCAGAGAGTCCGGCACGCTACTGAGAGTATCTCGCCCGCATGGCAAAGCCTGGTAATACCCGTGACATATTCGATATGCCAAATACAGTAACAATTGTCACAATGGAGATATTACTGGGT